TAAGCGGTCATATGTTGAACATTTTTTTAAAATTATATTTTAACCCTCAGTTTTTTATTTTTCTTTCAAAAACAACATCAGAATCTAAATTTTCACCCCTTTTTTTAAAAAAATTGTTTTCAACTTCATCATCCATCCATTTTTTCCTAATTTTTACATTAAATAAAATTCATAAATTAAAAAATTATATTTTATAAATTAATTTTAAATTTTTAAAATTAATTCTCGGTATTACAACTAATTTCATCATATTCTTTAGTTAATCATCTTATAATATCTTTCTCAAACTTTGTCCTATAACCTCCAAAATTACCAAAACCTAAAAATGATAAATACTTCAAAAAAAAAATTGAATGTGTTAATTTCTACTAACACATATAATATAATTGAAATGGTGTGAAATTTGCAGCCCTTAACTTGATTAACTCAAGAATAATAGAAGATAAAACATAGTAAGAACTTAAAAAGAATTATGTTATCCAAAAGATTATTCTTTTAATAGATTTTTAATAATTCAACTGTGTATAGTATGATTTGTGGTGATAATGTTTTATTTATCAAGATGTTATACCCATACTATTTCATCGTATGAAAATGTATTTTGAATTTGATAAATATTTTATTAATAATTATAAATTTATAAAATATCTAACATTTTGATAAATTAAATTAATTTTGTAAAAACTCAGAACTTTAAGGGAAATGAATTCATAAAATTAACTACGAAAGTGATTAATAGAGTTAAAGTTTACATTCCTTACATAATAATTTAGAATGCCTAATAGGATTACGAGAATATCCCTTCTGAAAGACAAATGGTAATTAAAAAAATAAAAAGAAGAGCGAATACAAAAGTACTATAGGACAACTTTTACTAACCCTTGAAGGAGTTTGGATGGTGAACTACTCACAACACTCTTGCTGATTGGGATCTGAATCTTGATTCTCTTGATCTGAAATGGTTAATAAAAAGGTAATTTACACTAGCCCAGTAAGAATATCACATTAATTACAGATACGAAAAATTGAAGATTGGTAAAAATCAGAAAAACAACTAATGGAGCCATTTTTTTATTTAAATACCTTAAAACTTGAAGACGTTTGTCTGATACTTACCTTAATGAGTTTTCCA